GGCGTACCTCATTACTCTCTTCTCTAAAGACAAGTTAAATGACGAAACTAATTTCCTTGTGAAGGTCTTCTAATTCTCAAGCATCGCTGAAGGAGAGCTATCGAGGTGCAGAACATCTAACTAACAACAAAATATCCTCTTTACAATTATGTGCTAATAGATCTACTCCCACATATATTGTAATCATTAAAATCTAAAATTAAGCCAAATCAGTTAATTGATAACAACTTTATAAATAAGAGAGTTTCACGTGTTCAGATAAATTTAAATGTTCAAAAATTTCCTTGATCTAACCTAACCTATGCATACTACATACATTATGAAGAAGAAGCTAATCAAATGCTAGCTCAATTCGTCTTTTCTGGAGAGCCTGACTTGATAGACGGCCACATCAGTACTATAATTGAGCAGATTAGCTCAATTTTTGTCTATTTTATTTATCTTGCATACCTATTTTTATTTTCGACTACTAATTTAATTGTTAGAGTGAAAACGAAAACCTTATCACCCATTAGACGATTGTCTTAGCAAACTAATTGTGCTAAGTGTACAACCAACCAACATCGTAATCTTCCTCGTTTTGAGATCAACACAATTGATTTCGATAATGTTGGAAATTAGAAATTATAAAAAATACCTCGTCCATGCTCATTTGATCGCCAACTGTAATTGGGTGATACCTCTATCCACACCCTCGAATCTTGATTTTTAACATTAGACGCCAAGAATGAATAATGAAGGTAATTGGGGCCCTTTGTGAAGTAAATTAATGCTGTGTTTTTTAGCACTGACTTTCTGTCATTTTTAACCCTCCCTCTGTTCCTGTCTCGTTTCCATCGCCATTTCTTAAAACATTTCGATGAAGCCAATCGTTGATGCCCTAAACTAGAGGACAACTATCCTTAAAAATTGCACACGCACTACACACACTGTTACTACTACTAAACACCACTCACTGTCCTATTGTCACATGGCAGCTACAACTACTCGTCTCAAGTTCCAAACCCAGCCTATTAAGTCTAAACGCCGCCGCTGCCGTGAAACTACAATTACGGCCTCCTCCGCCGCCGCCACCGCCAACCCTTCAGTTTCGTCTGCCACCTCGTGTCAGCAAAGCCGTAGATTTGAAACGCCGATTATAGTTTCCCCGGAAAATTCTTGGTGCTGCCCTGCTTCTAAACCACCACCTCCGCCGCCGTCACCTCCGGCTGAGGGTATTGTTGCATCATCGTCATCATCACTGTCTCGCTCTTCCTCAGATCTGAAGATCTGTAACTCGCTTGCTACTATGGACTCCTACTCCACTTCAACTGCCATCTACGGTTGCGGTGCCGCCAGCGGAGGCGTCGCATCTCAGGATAATTTTCCGTCGTCCTTAAGTAAATTTAACTCCGCGCTCACGGCGGGTCTTCTTAACCCAATGTCTCCTCCTCCTTTAGTGGATAAAACTCGTTCAAGCCCAACCCTATTTGAAATGATGGCCAATGAGCCTGATTGCCTCCCCAGAGCCACAAACCTAATTCAAAACGCCATCGTTTCGGCTCAAAATCATCAGACGTCAAAGGTTTCTATAAACCCACCTCCTCAAGACAGACAGGCCTTAATGCACCAGCGTCTGATGGATCTTTTGGCATTGAGAAGCCCTGGAAATCAGTTTAACGATGCAGGGTCAGGGGATGTGAAGCTGACTTTGAGTTCAAAGGATGGTCTGAGCATTTCCATGAGCGTTCATAGGCAGATTCTTGTAGCTCACAGTAGATTTTTTGCTCTGAAATTGAATGAGAAATGGATTAAGCAGCAGAGGAGCTCTGGGCCGTACGACGTTGAGATTGCTGATTGCGATGATATCGAGGTTTACATTGAGACTCTGAGGTTGATGTATTGTAAGGACTTGAGGAAGAAACTCATGAAAGAGAATGTTCCTCGAGTCCTCGGAATTCTAAAGGTAATGCCAATCAGCGTACTGACTTTTATCTGTGTATATCTATATCTATCTGTTGCTTGTGTGGTTGAATACAGAAATGCATATGAATGTCAAAGATGTGAGTTTTCAAATCCTTATTAGTAAATGCATTTGAGATTAACGATTAGATCCATACACAGAAATGAAAGAGATAAAACAATTTGACAAGTGAAGCAGATTGAATTGACTTCAGACGAGTAGCTTATGAAAACTTAGAACTGAATGAGAGTCCCGTGTGGGTTGCTATGCAAATTGTCTAAGTACTGAAAAATGTTATACTGTCGGGGTAATATGATATTGATTATAATTCTGATGTCTTTTGCGGAGTTTAAATGATACTATGGATCTTGACTTATAGAGTATGCACTCTTTCAAGTGGAAATAATGATGATGAAGGATTGATGTGTATTAGTGCATTACTTGTAATCGCCGAGAATAAAATTGATGTAGAGTACCCTGGATATTTTGTATTGTTCTGTTCTGTTCTGTTCTATGTTGTGTTGAATTGACTGATATTTGACAGTGTGTGGCCTGATTGAAAATGCGTGGTTAAAATTGTTCAACAATTTGATAGTTTACATCTCTCTTGACAATGTATATGGAGAAACATATATTACACACTCTTGTAATACTGGTGAGGGTTTGTATGTTAATGTCATTTATGGTGGTGTCATGACCTTGAAAAATAGAGCTGTCTTACTCTTCTTCCAGAATTTACATTGAGTTTATCTTTGTGTGTTGTGGTACTTAATTTGGCAACACTTATGATTGTGTGGGATTATTTACCACAATGTATAATGTATCTAGTGTGTTGATACTTACATAAACTTAGGTATACAAAAGTAATGGACAGTTGAATAAATTTTTTAGTACATTAAGCTACTATCCACAATTACAAGGTGATGAACTCGGGTTAATGGTCCTATTGTAGGTGTCTGCAGCAATTGGGTTCGATGCGGGTGTGCTGTCTTGTTTGGAGTACTTGGAGGCTGCTCCATGGGCCGAAGATGAGGAAGAGAAGGTAGCTTCACTGTTATCAGAGCTTCGGCTTGAAGGGATTGGAGCCGGGGAAGTTTTGAAGAGGGTTTCTCTTGATGTCACATCAGGAGTTGACGATAGGAGTGACAATGAAGAAGTGCTGATCAAGCTATTGCAGGTCGTTCTCGAAGGAAAAGATGAGAAGGCGAGGAGAGAGATGAAAGTTCTGGTAACCAAAATGTTACGTGAGAACTCATCACATAATGATTTAAGGAAGGAGTCCCTGTACGCAGCTTGCAATGGATGTTTGCAACTCCTCCGTCTTCATTTTCTACAGGCAGCAGAATCTGACATGAAGAATGTGGGTCAGATAGCACGGCAGGCAGATAATTTGCAGTGGCTATTGGATATTATGATTGATAGACAGATTGGTGAGGATTTTTTAACGATATGGGCATCTCAGTCTGAATTGTCTAAAGCACATTCTAAAGTGCCCACAATCCATAGGTACGAGGTTAGTGGAGTTACAGCTAGGCTGTTTGTTGGCATTGGGAAGGGACAACTATTGGCGTCCAAAGATGCCAGGTGCGCCCTTTTGCAGATGTGGTTGGTACCTTTTTATGAAGATTTTGGGTGGATGAGGAGGGCATCGAAAGGTCTTGACAAGCATTTAATTGAGGATGGTCTTAGCAACACTATACTGACTTTGCCCCTGGCCTGGCAGCAGGAAATTTTAATGTCATGGTTTGATCGATTTCTTAATTCAGGCGATGATTGTCCTAATATCCAGAGAGGCTTTGAAGTCTGGTGGAGAAGGGCATTCTGGAGGCGTAACGTTGAGCCTGAGAAGCCTCGTCAATTACGGGTCATGACTGCTACAATAGAGAACTCCTGAGTTTGACATGCCGTAATTTCAGGTTCACAGTCTCGATTGGTCCAGTTGGATAGTATGAATTTATTTTATATTCTTCATTTCTAAACTGAATACTGGAGTTCATTTTGGCTGTGGAGTTCTGTAGACATCATCTGATTTGCGAAGTTTAATTCGATAGATGACATAAAAAACATAGATTTGCGAAAATTTCCCGGATGGTGGATTGCTTGGCTCCACCCTTCTGCAGCACTGGATTCAGACTGGATTCAGACATCATTTTTTTTTTGTTCTATAGGTATTCCTGTCACATATTCTTCGAGTCTCGAGCACACCAGCAATTAATTTGCAGGACTATTCTTCGGGAGAAAATTTACTTTATGCCTGAGTCTGTATCTCAAGGATGCCATCTTTTAAAATGAACGAAGATAGTAATTTTTTTTCTGGATTAAGCTTCAAATGGTGGAAGTTGAGAGTTTAATCTGTTGTCTTGTGAGTTTAATTTAATTGTCAATCGAGACATCCTGGGCGATGAAACTTGAAGACTTCTCAATCCATCCGAGTTAGCATGAATGCAGAATTTGTCACAAGTCGGACATAAATTGCAACATAAAGACGAGAAAGGCATCAATAAAAGACAAATTGGGCCACACATTGATGTCTTATAGGGCTCACATTAACTGGACTCAGCTTATTGTTAGTTAGACCATCTCTCTCATAGACTGTGACCTTAGGACAATGGAGGAACACATAGGGAACCTATGAAATAAAGGTTAATCAATAACCACCACTTCCCTTTTCATGTAACAACAAACTTCTATTTTATAATTTGGTAATACACAAAATTGGTAAGAACGTAAGGCTGTAAAGTTGATGGTGTCGGTGGACTGTGTTAAATAGTGCTTGGTCGAGCTGCACTAACTGTAGACGTACAATATTCCAATTTGTGTGTCAACTCAATTAAGATTGGAAAGAAGGGAAATTTAGACTAAGAAGTCAATATTATTGCAATGATTAGCGATTAGGAATCTTTGATCTTCTTATATGATACTTGCGTGCCTTCAATGTATTTCAATTTTCATTAGTCATTGAAGCATCTAATCTAAATTTAACATTTAAGATGATATAGTTTAACATAATAGGAGAGTCGATTAATTTCATTTTAGGTCACTGAACTTTCAGTGAGATATCAATTGCATTCAATCATATCATTGAATTTCAATTTACTTTCAACATTGGTCACTATGTTAGCCCTTATTAATTGACTTAACATCCAACCCTTCCTTAACTTCCTTTTATAAAAATATGTAAGTAAATTGATATCATTTACAAACAACTAGTAGATGCAAAATAATAAGATAGCCACACTTTCAAAACCTCCGCAGGATGAACATTGATAATTCAGTTTCTATACTGCACTTCTGGTACAATTCTGAAGAAGCGAAGTCGTGTCAATTATTTAGAAGATTGGTGCATAGTAAAAAAGGTTGAACCCCAACCTTAAGGATCCCCCACCGTCCCTGCCCTGGAGCATCGTGAGAGAGGTAAATCGCAGGTTATGCCTTCAAGGGTACAGGGTGGAAGGCTGCTTGTACACTTGCACTTACCCAAGAGCCAAATCCATATTTCAGGATTCGAACCCTTGACGCGGCAGCCTCAAGTAAAACTGGATTTTTCCACCCTCCCCTTTTACCACTTGAAGATATGCCCTGGGGGCAGATTGGTGCATAGTAGAAAGCACAAATGATTGAATCTGTAGTATAACCCAAAAACAGATAAATACTTGGGTAAGACGCACCGTTCTACATGGTGCGAGTCAAGTCTTGATGTGATCTCACCTTATTGAGTGAGATTGGGCCATCCGATAAGGTGATAGCTCCTCCTCATTAAATGGTTGTACCATGTAGGACGATACGATCATCTTACCCAAGTATCTCTCATCTAGATGACATGCTCTATGGATTACTGTTCCTTTAATGGGAAAATTGATATAAACCACTGTATTAATCTATAAATTCTTGTCTTTCTATAAGAAAAACAATGCAGTTGAATGCATGGAAATTTTTAAAACTTGTTTGATATTTTAATTTTTTTTCCCCAAAAAATTGCATGGAAATATTTAAAAGGTGTTTGAAATTTTAATTTTAATTTTAATTTTTTTTTTCAAAAATAGCATTTTAATGTAACTTCATGTTGCAATTTCTAGTTTTGTTGCCTTGCAACCTAATGTTTAACCAATACCAAACATGTTTGTTTCTGATGAGGAAATTTACCAGCAAAGTATGTGAAAAGGAATACACAACTCGACGGTAGTTTGTTTTACTTAGTATTAATATATGAAAATCAACCATTGCAAAATAAGATAATGTTTGATAATTAATTAAACCTAAGAAAGATACATTTTTGTCTGTTATACAAAAATTGTCTCATCATCATCCAATGAAAATGCTTGAGAAATTTCAAAGAAACTGCTTTAATTAATTACCAAAATTTGGTAGTTTTCAAAAGCTCAATTAAACCAATATATCTCTTCTAAAGGGTCAACTAATTAATTAGCAGAGTGCACGCCAAAATGGATCGAAGAAAAATTTGAAAGAAAATTTAATGTTATGAGAGAGAAGGGCAAGCGTGTTGTTTGATTAAATAAACTATGTTCCTTTTATAATGTTTAGACTCTAGAGTCATAAACGAGGTGGTTTATATATAGTCTGAGTATTGAGTGTAGGTTGGTATACTTTTAAGAGGAATAATTCAAATCGAACATTCTTTTCGTATTTAAACAATGTGAATCCTTAACAAGTTCATCTAAGATGTCGATTCATTTAAGAACATTCAATTGAAATTTAAATATCCATTTGAGTTTTAGACAAATCATCATTCATTTCAGCTTTTTGAACCACTTTCAGTCTTCGAGTTTCATTAAGAGTAATAACTCAAGCTCTTATATATGATGATCAATGGTTTCATATTAAATGATATGAGATTTATGGCTTTAACGCTTAGATCAATCAAGATCTTGGGATTAAGTTTAGCAACTACCCATTTATGAAAGTCGGGCACGCTCTTTAATGAAAATAAATAATTAATTAATTAATATATGTTCCGCAAAGAATGAAACATACAAACACTAAATTTAAATAAATAAGTGTATTTCCGATCTAAGATTTTACCCACTACCTTTGGTTGGTTGACAAGATGTAGAGTATTGTTTAATTTCTTTGATGTAAGACATCAAAGAAAACTGTGTGTTGTTCTATCAAACTTCTTTGGTGGGTTGTGACAATTAAAATAAACCATTATCTTATGTTAAAAATAAGATTTCTTCTTGTTGTGGACTCAGTATTTGAAGATGCAACCATATGGGGGATGAAAATGATCACATTGTGAGTTGTTAGAGTAACACAAACCATATGGGGGATGAAAATGATCACATTGTGAGTTGTTAGTGTAACACAAATTTATTTATTTTCAATAATTGAACATATTATTATATTTTACTTCAAAGGAGCATATCTAGTTAGATTCGGTCGATGAAGAAAAGTGCCATTTATTTAATTTTCTAAAATCATGGAGTACCGAAAGATATTTTTAAAGTCACGAGATATTTTTATGAGCATCAGAGTTTAGATGATAAAATGATATCAATTCTAAGGAATTCTCTTAAGAGCTAGACTTTATTTGATGGGTCCACAAAATTGATGACGATGTACATCAACTTGAAAATAATATTTTTGTTTGAAAATTAATTTCTCTATCTTAGAATAACCTTTAGAGTATGAATTTTCCTATTTGTACCCAGGCGTTCACACGCTCGATTACAAGCCCGTCACAAAAAGGGGGGCTGCGTCTAATAAAAAAAATGCGTAGGCCCCTACTATGAGGGACGTGTAACCAAGCATGTCAACACCCGAGTACATATAGTACAACCCTTTGGAGTATATATGAAGGTCAATTTTGGAAAAGAGAAAATGGCATTCCTTCATACAAGAGTTAGGCCAACTCTTGCTTCCCTTCGTAATAGCTAAAGAGTTCCACAAATGCTTTTCAAAAGAAATAGTAATTACATTTTTGATGAAAAAAATCTAAACAATCAGATTTGGATTTTGATTTTCAAACTCAATATACGTTTATAATTAAAGAGTATTAACATTCACCATTAGAAAGTGCGGTTTCAGCGATGAAAATTTATCGATGGTCAGTTTTCGTGCTAATAGCGATAGATGACCGACTGAATAATTAAACAAATCGATGGACAATAAACAATAGGTTTTTTTAATTATTTTTTTGATCAAGGATATTTTAATACCTACAAATTTACCAACAGGAATCTTTCGTTGGAAAAATTCCGTTGGTAATCCATTGGAAAAATTAATTAATTAACTAATTAATATTTTCGATAAATTTTAAAATAAACAATTCCATCAGTAACTATAGAGCAAAAAATAAATAAAAGTTCAAGTGGAAACAATCCGTTGGTAAATACTTTATTCCGATGGTAACATATGGAAAAATGAAAAAGGTTACTCCAAAAACATTTTTAAAAAAAATTGTGAAAAAATGGAAAATACAAAAAATAATAAATAAATTGTGAAAAAATGTAGGGTCTTGGATACATAAATTTTGGGGTCAACAATGAATTTCAATTTTGAAGTATTTTTTTATATTCCAAACACTCATAAATTTTGGAATAAATATTGATAATTTTAAATTGGGAATTTCTTTTTGATATACATTTAAAATTCAGAATTTGAGAATCACGAAATGTAACAATAAATGTTACAAGTGGTGAAATCGATGGTGATGTGCAACAATGAATGTTATATGTTGTTGGCCAGATAGGGATGGCGTATGAATGTTATAGATGGTGGGATTTACAGTGATGGTGGTATAAATTTTAATGTCATCACTAGTGTTAGGAAATAGAATACTTTGTCATTATATCTTTGTTCGTATAAGAGATATATCAAAATGTAAACACAGAAATAAAATAAAATAAAAATTTTCATGGCTGGATTGGAGAATTCGAAGCAATGACTATGTTTTTGAGAGTAATGTTATTTGCACATTTCAGTATACACTCCCCTAACGAGGTGAGAATGTACATATAGCAAAACTCATTTTTTCAATCCTAACCATCGTTACCTAACAAACATAGCAATGTAGGATGGTGTAGATGCTAAGTATTTTGTCATCCTAGTTGCAACTATGTTGTCAAACCAATCTATGCAATAGTTATTTATTTTAATAATCTTACAAGAATCTTATAAATCATATAAATTTTTTAGTAAGACAAATTATTATACATAAAATGCAACTGTTTGCACATTTCTAACGAAATTAACTTTAGACGTTATTCACTTAATATTTAAAGTTGTTAATCAATATAAAAAATTAACAATCAATTATAATCATCCTTTTTACTAATTTAATTACGTTTAAGAATA